AAAAATAGTGGTTTATAATGGGATACATGCTACGTGGGATCTCAATATCTCAGCTCTGGAAGGGTCTAGAGCCTCCATTTTTGCCCTCAGATCAAAGTCTCATGGCCCTCTATCAGAAACCAGAGTTTCAAGAAGATTGGAGAAACGTATTTTTTCGCACAAAAAAAAACGAAAGGGGTACCACTGTCGGTTTTTTGGGGGGTCGAAATTTTGAGTTTCTCCGATCTTCTCAAAAATCTGGATTCTGATATAGGGCCATGAGACTTAGACCAGAGTGCAAAAATGGAGGCTCTAGAACCTTCCTGAGCTGAGATATTGACATATTATAGTGGCATAAATGCTATGTGGGATCTCAATATCTCAGCTCAGGAAGGGTCTAGAGACTACATTTTTGCACTCAGGTCTAAGTCCCATTAGCCTGGTTCAACCAGACTCTAGTTCATTTCATTTCCACATAGAGTCTGGAACCGCTCCATTAAGAAACGTTTCCTTCCTTGTAGGCGGGTTCACTATTAAAGTTCAAATCTATTGGATCTGCCCAAAGTCACTCACGATCTGCCATAGCCAATCGCTAACGGGGTGTCGTGAGTGACGTACGTCATGCGCCGAAGAGGATTATGTTTACAATAGGATTTCAGTCAACGAGCGCCGCAGGTTTTGTTAATCTAGGAACAATTATTAATTCGAAATGTATATTTGACACGAAGGACAGTGATATATTCATCCAACGGTGGAAGCTGTGTCTAATCATTACAAATACGCCGCTGTGGTCGTTTTCTGATCTGCCGCAAATGCTGTAACGTTAGCTGCTACAGTGAATGATCAGTCTGTCTCTATCTGCAGATGTGTAATAAACAACAATTTTTCATATTACGTCTTATTGTTTCTTAATTACCTTAATTCTGGTCTTCAAAGTATGTGTTTGTACATTTTTATATGGCATTTAGTTTTTTTAGTAAATCAACCATTGCCATCTAAAACTGAAAATCAAATATCTTCAAAGTATGGTTTTTCACATTTTTATTTATGACAATTATTTTTTTTTAAATCACAACCAATTTGTATGATTTACAACATGTAAAACTGACACACCAACCTCCTGCACCAGTGCACAAAGGGGCTCAAAATGTTCTATTCATCACAAGAATCAGTAAATATACAGTTGGGAATATGAGCGACTGACATGACTCCTGAGCGGATCTTCAACAATAGTTTAGCAGCCAGGACTCGGGGCTTCCGAACACCGCGAACACCAGGCTAAACCGTCCGTCCAAAATGTCACGGTCATCGTGCACGAACTGCCCAGCACAAACTTCCAAACTTTCTGCCTCCTTCACTTGGTCCTCAGTTGTGCAACAAGAGGTGAGACGATAACAATCCGGCTTTAAATTCTGTATATTCGGCAGTTTCTTTTCCAACAACGGACCGAATAGCTTTTCTCACGTCTTTCTTCGCTGCCATTACTGAACTCAACCTGACGCGCTTACATCAACGTCATCGTTCTCAGCCACTCCCTCTATTCGCTGATTGGTCCTACAAAAAATTGATTTCTGGAAACCTAAGGATATGGAGCGATCCCAGACGCAGTACTGAAGTAAAATGAAATTGAGCGGAAGTGCGTAGGAGGGCGCAGCCAGGCTAAAGTCCCATGGCCCTCTATCAGAATCCAGAGTTTCAAGAAGATTGGAGAAACTTATTGTTTCGCACAAAAAAAAAACACGAAAGGGGTACCACAGTGTTTTTTTTTTTTCGGGTCGAAATTTTGAGTTGCTCTGCTCTGAGTGCAAAAGCTCGCATATTGAGATATTTATAATGGCATAAATGCTATGTGGGATCTCAATATCTCAGCTCTGGAAGGGTCTAGAGACTCTATTTCTGCACTCAGGTCTAAGTCTCTATCAGAATCCATTGTTTCAAGAAGATTGGAGAAACGTATTTTTTCGCACAAAAAAAAAAAAACGAAAGGGGTACCACTGTCGTTTTTTGTTTTTTTGGGTCGAAATTTTGAGTTTCTCCGATCTTCTCAAAACTCTAGATTCTGATAGAGAGCCATGAGACTTAGACCTGAGTGCAAAAATGGAGGCTCTAGACTAGACCCTTCCAGAGCTGAGATATGGACATCCCGCATAGCATTTATCCCATTATAAAAATAGTGGTTTATAATGGGATACATGCTACGTGGGATCGCAATATCTCAGCTCAGGAAGGTCTAGAGCCTCCATTTTTGCACTCGGGTGACCAGTGGTATTGATTTATTGAAAAAAAAAACTAACACCACCAAAAAAGGGCACTTCGACAAAAAAGGGCATGTGCTCTGCACAGGCTGAGCCCTACCTTTGCACGTGCCTGCTTGCATTATTCTTGCAGGTTTGAATTGGTGGCTTGTGTGGTAAACAAATGTGGGTAAGCCTACCTGTGGCCAGTGTGTTGGCCTCCTCTCATTTTATAGTTAAAGCACTATTATAACATGGTAATGTTAAAGGTAAAATTATGCAGTATTTTTCACCACCAGGGGTCGTTAACCTCTTACAATAACCAAGGCGCATATTGATGATGTACAGTATATTCCGCATTAAGTGGAATTGTGGATCTTGTCATCAAGCTAATGTATCTTTTATGGATAAGTGAATACATTGATGTTTTTAACATGACTGTGGTATGAAGCATGGCGTGATTGCTAGACGTATACAGTGCCACACGCACTAGTATACGTCTATCAACATTTCAACATGTTCAACTAAATAACATTGATTAGTTTTATGTACATTTGCTCACCTGTCTAAGTACATGCAACATTTGCGTCTCTGTCAAGTCGAAGTTAGTCGTGAACGTGGAGCTCTCGGCATTTCCTAAGATTTTGATCTTCATTTTAGTTGTTTAAACAAAACAACAACAGCGTGAGCGTCCTGCTAGGCAGAACCTGGCGGAAACCAAGGCTAACGCGGATATGACGCCATTGACTGGTGACTCCTCACCCATGCTCACACACCCCGTTTCCTTGTTTAAAAATCGCATTTTTCTCACGATTTACAAATAGTTGGGATATTGTAGTAATCAACTAAACAAAATATATAACATTGGCCTAGTGGTTTTTGGATATTTTACTGCAAAAATCCTACATATTGTACATTTACATTTTATTATAATATAGCTAATTTGCATTTCACACATCGTTGATCTGCATTCAGACAGGTTTTTTTTTTCTTCAACAGGACGTTTTCTTATGCTACAATGTATTTCTATAATAAAAGACAAATATGATATGGTGATACAATATATGATTTATATTTCATTTCAAGCAATGTGGAAGTAAAAGGACTAAACGAAAGATAAACCTATACAGCATTGTTATCTTTGCTAGCACAGACTGTATTTAGTTCTAATTAATCTGTTATTTAGTTAACACTTAGGCAGATCCCATTGTGTCTCTAGTAAATTACATGTTATTTTGGTTAGTTGTCTTTTCAGAATCGTGGGGTTGCTGAAAAGGTAGTAAAGTGGGGCGTTCCAGCAACTAGAGTTATTAAAGTCATACTTCTGCTTCATCAGAGTTTTGTTTTTGAGGTACTCAATCCAAGTTTCCCAGCGGACTGTTCAAGCAGTGAGAGCAGTAAATGAGCCAAGGGAACATCGGAGATCCCTGAAGTTACAAAAGTATCCAAAGAGAAGCACTCTTAACCAGTCTGAAGCTAATTAAATCAACAGCTACTGGATACATCTGGTCATAATTAGTCACTTATGACAATAGTTGCTGAGACACTAAGTGATCGTGAACCGAAATTAATTGGTCTGACTGATTAATAAATCAACTCTACATGGAGACATCGACACATTGTGACCCATGTGTGTTCATATCTTCCTGTTTAATTAGAAGGTTTTTAGTAATTAAAAGGAATGATCAAAACAGGAACAGTAAGTACTCTTAGTGTTTCGATCATTAGCACTTTACTAACGAGAATGTCCTGTTCTTGTCCTGGTCCCAAGATATCACCTCAAAATAATTTCCATCCCTCTCCAATTGAAACCAAAGTAACAACCAAATGAATTTCATGAAAAACACAATTTTTTGAATTTGTTTATCACAATTATATGTTATTGTTTTTTTATGTAAATAGTATGACTTTGAGAATATAAAGGTCAGTGATATATATATATAATATATATATATATATATATATATATATATACTGTATATATATTCTCATATTCGTTCATGAACATAATGTTTTTATGGGTGTATGTAATTTTGTCTCGGAAGTGTGGAATTTCTTCAGTTCTCTTCAAATTTCCATTGGAATAATTAAATCTTAGATATTTTAGAAAATAGCATTCTGTCCATTTTGCTTAAAGTTATTTCTCATTTTTTTTTTAAGATTCCTAAAAATGCAGTGTTTTCTTTCCATTGAGTGCTTTAATTAGTAATTCAATTAAAAAGCATTAATACTCTTTCTATAGAAAGACATATTACCTTAATTTTGCCTGTTAAGATTGCAGATTCTATTCTGTCCTTCCAAAAGTGAATCCTGCCTCAGCCATACACATTAAGGAAAATTTGTCCAACAAATAACAGTAATTACAATGGCAAGCTGTTGACCCAGGTATCAGGGGAGGGGAGCAGGAATATTTAAGAGAAGTAGCATGACCTAAATCAAAAGAGGGGGAGCTATACGAATAACATTTAAAAAGCCTTTGTGCATGCTTTTATAGATATTAGGCTTCATTTTACAGACATGAAAACCTAAGAGAAACAAATTTGCTGATCTAATGTTTAGCATGTTTTAATACTTTATTAAATCTCTAAGCTTCCTTTGATGCAGGTCTGAGCATAAAATGCAAACCACATTTGGAGGTTAAAGGACACAATTTATGCTTAAATGTATGTATATATATATATTTGCTTATGTTGTTAATTGCTTCTGTAAACATGTTTTCTGTGCATTAACTGTAAACTGTTACTATGAACTGTTTTTATGTATTCAAAGCAAACTTTGATCCAAGGAATGGACATCAGGACACTCAACTTCTCTCATCGGGAACTCTACTTGATTGGATTCACGGATCTGCAAGAGTATCGGCAGTACCTTTTCATTCCTTTTCTTGTAATCTTTGCTTTCACGTTGTTCGCAAACTCAATTATAATGCTAGTGATTGTAAAAGAAAGCAAGTTACATGCACCCATGTACATTCTGATCGGGTTTATGGCAGCTCTTGGGTTTATACAGCCAATATTTCTTGTTCCAAGAATGTTAATCAGTTTTTTGTTTGGTAGAAATATGATTTACAAAGATGAATGTCTTGTTCAAACGTTTTGTCTGCATATGGCAGGTTGTTTCCAGGCGTCAATTTTAGTTTTGATGGCAGTCGACAGATTTTTTGCCATTATTTTTCCCTTAAAGTACCATGACTATGTAAATGTTAAAACATCAATAATATCCTGTTTGTCCTTTTTTTTCCGTAACTTGCTTTGTGTCGCTTCGATGGTCGGCCTGATCGGGCCACTCTATTTTTGTAAATCAAATGCGATTTATCATTGTGTTTGTGAGTATACTTCAGTTGTCAATGCAGCCTGTGGTGATGTGAGCAAGAATCTCGAGGCTGGAACAATCGCTTTCATCATAGTATCATGTGACTGCGCAGTTGTAATCTGCTCTTACATTGTTATTTTTGTCATTATATCTCGCTCTCCTTCTGGTGAGTCACGACAAAAAGCCATCTTGACATGTGGCACACATTTAATGGTCATAGCGTTGGCCTTTTTTTGTGCTCTTGTTGCATTTGTTGGCTACAGGGTGTCTACCATACCGAGAGATATCCGTGTGTTAAGCACCTTGTCATATCATCTTATTCCGAACTGCTTTAACCCTGTAATCTATGGAATTAGAACAAAGGAAATCAGAGTTCAGGTTGTTAAATATTTATCTTATAAGAAATCATGAATCCTATTAACTTTCTCTCTTTCATTTTACTTTAATTGTTCATTGTACTTGAAGGAAAATGTTATTAGTTTATGTTTATATGTATGTGTATGTATGCGTGTTAAACTGTATATATATAAACACACACTATATGTACATGTTCATTGTGCTTTCAGCAGTGTTTAACCAAGAACTGACCCTTTGCCATTACCAATATCCATACAGAAGTAGTAGTAGAAGTATGTTTTTCCCCAACTATGTAAACCCTATGCCAGCTTTGGCTCCATGCAGGCGTGATGAATCATTCTTCAAGCAAAAGTAACTGAATGAATATTTCAATTCTACCAATCCCGATCTGAATTCTGACTTGTGATGTATCATAATGAGATCATGTTTGTTCATTGGCCAGAGTCTGGGCCACTGAGCCTGGTTTCTCCTATGGTTTTTCTCCATTCGGTCACATGATGGAGTTTGGGCTCCTTGCCACTGTCGCCTCTGGCTTGATTAGTTTGGGACACTTAAAAGTTAATATAATTAATCTGACTGTCATGATGCTGTTGTTGTATGAGAACTGGACTGAGCTAGACGATATAAATTAAGGTGATTTGACTTGAAATATTTGCTGTAGTTCTAGAATAATAATCAACATCACATTTTATTTTAAGTCTTTTGTAATAAATTACCAGCACAGGGAAACTGTTCAGCCTTTATAACCACTATTGATTTCCAGTGTAAATTTAAAGTAAATTTAAATAGATTTTCACTACTGTAAAAATCTGTCAAAGTGAAAATTTGGCTCACTGTCCTTCTGTCCCATTCCTGTTCCCCTCTCTCCTCCTCCCATTGCTTTCTGTCACCTCTGTGTATGTTAGGCACTTTATCTACATATTTAAAAATATTATCTTAATTTTCTTTGAAATTGAATTCCTCTCCGAACTGATTAGCGTCGAGTGCTATAGGGAGAAAAATGGGATCGGGAAAAGGGTGACTGGAACTTTTTTTCAATTAAACTTGCTGTTTACGCCACTCTCCCACTTCTCAGATCGGGTTGTTTTTCAATTTTGTCAGGTCCAACCAGACAGTGGTGGGCAGATTAAATAGAATTTTTTTTTTCCATAATTAGTTACACTAAATTAACCAGACAACTCTAATATTTGCACATGCGAATCAACTTTCTACTGCCACTGCCTCTTTACTTTCTGCATGTCTTGATTAACAGATGTCTCATCAGATGTGTTTAATACGCTAAATATATCTTCCTTTTCCGTTTTGTATGACTTATTGTGTTTTCACTTACTGTTAAAGCAGATGCCATATGACTAATAAAGATCAATGCCATGGGATTCTGAAGCCACAAGAGAATTCATGACAGCACAAGTTAGCACACAGTATAGCACTCAGAAATGTGACTTGTAAGCTAGTAGGATTAAGTTCCTAAGCAAAGTTCTTCACTTAAGGGTAAAAAAAAGTTTGAAACACCTAAGCAACTGTATACTTTTAGCAAATATCCCAACATCACAAATATGTAAATATTTGCAGCACATTTACCTCTCAATTACAACAAAACAAAAATGACAGTGGTGAGAAAATAGCAGTTAAGAAAGCATCTGTTCATAACAATGTGTGAGCTCTGAAATTCTGATCTCAAGTCAAATAAAGTCACTTAATGTTTGTATAACACTTTATCAAATTTAAAGCCAGCAGCTTTAAAGTATTACCTGTAAGGTAGGCAATTTCAGAGAGGATAGCAATAGCAAGCTAGCTTTGAAAACATAAGATCCCAGCATCCCCAACGCCACGTCTCCTACAAAACATATGAACGCAGACAGCAGAGTCTGCAAAGCATCACGAAAAGTGAGACAGCATTAATTTACCACATGTCTACAATAATAATGAATGTAAACCACTTACAGAGCTCTTATTCAATCACTGGGCAGAATACCCTAACAAAAGGAAAATATATTTAGCAATATATTACTTGAAATATATTGTAATATTTTATTTTTCCTTTCCATTTTCCAATATATTATATATTGGAAATACATGGAATAATATATTAATGATACATATATTATACAACATATTATTATACAATATATATTCATGTAATATACTGCAATATATTGCAAAATATACAAATGTTTGCCGCTTTCAATATATTGAAAATGAATATATATATATATATATATATATATATATATATTATTTTGGCATATTTTGCAATTTTATATTTATAAATTACGACTATAATGAATTCCGATTTAAATGGGAAAATGTATTGATAATATATGTAAAGATATAGTGTCACATGTTTAATATATGGTATAATATATTTTAAATATATTTAAAATTATATGACAATAAATGAAGAGTTCAGATGCAAAAGCCTCTAAATGCCATTTGAAATTTTCTTCTTTAATGATGATTTTTATCAAACTTGTATATTTAAGTTCAGTAATTTCACCTAAATGGCAATGATAATTACCTATCAATTGTTATTTAAGTGAAATTACTGAACTTAAATATACAAGTTTGATAAAAATCATCATTAAAGAAGAAAATTTCAAATGGCATTTAGAGGCTTTTGCATCTGAACTCTTCAAATGCACATATATATTGTAAAATGTATGCACAACATATGTGTACATATATGAGAACATGCCCATCCAATATGTACATATATGGAGATATATAAAGTAAATATACTTACCTAAAGGATTATTAGGAACACTAATACTGTGTTTGACCCCCTTTCGCCTTCAGAACTGCCTTAATTCTACGTAGCATTGATTCAACAAGGAGCTGAAAGCATTCTTTAGAAATGTTGGCCCATATTGATAGGATAGCATCTTGCAGTCGATGGAGATTTGTGGGATGCACATCCAGGGTACGAAGCTCCTGTTCCATTCCAGTAACTGAGCAGATTGTGAAATACTCAGACCGGCCCGTCTGGCACCAACAATCATGCCACGCTCAAAATTGCTTAAATCACCTTACTTTCCCATTCTGACATTCAGTTTGGAGTTCAGGAGATTGTCTTGACCAGGACCACACCCCTAAATGCATTGGTGAATACAGGATAATTTACCAGAAAATTGGTAGATATTTAATAGATGATGCGTTTGCTGTAATTTGGAGTAATTGTGTCTAGCTGTCACCCCAGACAGCAAACTGACATTGAATCAACGTGGAAACAACGTCTCTCATAACATTGAAACAACGTTGATTTTGCTCATCGAATTAACGTTGAACCAACGTCAGACGCGGCATTCTTCAAAGCTAAATGAAATCGAAAATTGGTTTGGTTTCATAACGTTGAAACAACACGTTGATTTCAAGTTGATTTTCCGTTAGTTTTGAAAGAATGACGCGTCTGACGTTGGTTCAACGTTAATTCGATGAGCAAAACAATGTCAGATCAACGTTGTTTCGATGTCATGTTTCCACGTTGATTCAATGTCAGTTTGCTATCTGGGACAGTCCTCCGTCTGCACCAGTCTGTCTCGTCATCTGCACTACACTTCCCCGGATCCTTTTGTTTCTACTCCCGGACTCACTCCCCAATCAGCCACCTGTTCCTCGTCCTGTCATCATTATTTTCACCTGTTTGCACCCCGTTTAGTTTGATTCCTCTGTGTATTTAGTTCCTCCTTATTCAGTCTGTCATGGTCGGTCGATGTTAAATGTTACTTGGTGAAACCCTGTCTTCCTGCCTGTATGTTTGAAATAAATCCTTATCTTCGTGTTCATCTGGACTCTTCCCGCTTCTTCTGCCTGCACTCCTTCTTCAACCCGCACCCACACCGTGACACTAGCTTTCAATTCATTGAGTAGCTTAATTTGTGATAATGGCCATTTATTATAGAGGTCACATTGTATTGCTAAACTATATGGGTCATTCTATAAAACTGAAGTTTCAATGAAAATGGAAAAAATGGAAATGGAATGTGCTTGTAGCTTTAAGAGTACATATCTTACCTGCTAACAATCCAGTGGAGGGATCATGAAGTTTTGTTTGAAGTTGTGAGGGAACAGGAAGTTCACTAATATTATGAACAATTCAAAAATCCTGTTTTATTACAGTTAGGTGTATACAAAAAATTAAAAAAGTGGGAGCAAACGTTCTCATCAGCCTCTTTTAACAAGAAATATATGGCTTTGGCTTAATGTTTTCAGTAATTATATAGGAAGTATTTAGTCATTACACTGATGCCCTGAAAAATTCTTAATCCAAATCTTTCTCCTGAACAATCAAGTTTTGGATGAAAGTAGCCTCCTATAAACAACTTTAAAAAAAATAAAAGTTGTGACCTTTAATATTTGTGCATATTTTGCTTAATTTCATACTGTACATCTCATGAAAACAGCTCCAAATTAAATTATCTTGACACACATTGCCAATACAGTATCTGTTTACATAAGAAGGCACAGGTTGGTAATTTGCTCAAACTCATTATACTTATTGTGCTAACTCCAACGAAAGGGCTCTAAATTAAGCAGTGACAACAGATTAAATGAGTTTAGGGATCATCCGAAAATCCCAAAGTGATCAAGTGTGCAAAGAGAGGGCCAATTATAACCACTTCAAAACTAATTAAATAACCATCTACTATACATCTGCTCATAATTGGCCACTCGTGACTGAGTTACTGAAAATGTTAATGAACATAAACTGACTAGGTAAAGTAAACAAAAGAGCAATTTACATCACCATGTGTGGATATTGTTGTAGTTAGTTTAGTTTATTTGTATATCACATTTAAAAACACGAGGTGGCCAAAGTGCTTTCCATTAAAACAATATTCCAAAAAGTACAAAAAACATTAAACACCAAACGAAAAAGACACTTAGAACACAAGACAAGGTAAAACAAGGTACAATCAACTGCCAGCTCAACCACGCCTGGGCAAGGAAATCTGCTCTTAAATGAGATTTAAAAATACCAAATGTAGTACAATATCTAATGTCCAAAGCAGTTAGGCACAATCCCCTTTGGACTTTCGACTAGATTTAGGGATCTTTAACAGTAATGTTTGAGATGACCTAAATGGCCTTGTTGTCTGATAAACCTGGAGAAGATCGTAAATATATTCTGATGCTAGACATGCAAGGCCTTAAAAACAAACATTAAAACATTTAACTGGACCCTAAAATTAACTGGGAGCCACTGCAGTGAAGCTAGTACTGGGAAAAAACTGACCTGCTTCTTCCAGTCAAAGCTGCTGCATTTTGTTAGAGTTGAAGGCGATTCAACATTAAACAAGGAAGCCCATAGATATAACGTATTATAATTGTCCAACCTTGAAAATATACAAGTCTGTATTACCTGTGTTTAATTTTAGCATTGCACCTTAAATGAAAGAAGCCAGCCTTCACCACAGAAGCTCTCAATCAAAGACACCTCCCAGATTATTTGCTTGCTTTACATTAGAGGAAAGAGGGCCTAAACAGTCAAGTATGCGAGTTCACTCTAAAAAGAGTTTTAAAAAACAAGAGTGTTAAAAAACAACACACAGCATGTGTTAATGGTATTTTGACACGTTGTGTAGATTTTTAACACATTAAGGGCCAATCCCAATTCTACCCCTTACCCCTTCCCTTTCCCCTAGCCCTACCCCTTCGCCTTCCCCTTGACCCTTGAAACAGAGTGGCAATGCGTAGGGGAAAACAATCCCCTTAAGAGAATGGATAAACCACTACGCCTCCGTTTAAAACAGTCATTATAAGTCGTCGCTTAGCGCTTACGTCACAGATATGCGCCGTGTTTATCACAACTTCCAAGATGCCGTCGACAGCTGCAGTTATCTCAGTCGCGTGGGTTACAGCTATTTTCTTTGCATCTTGTGAAGTTCGCAGGAGACACGGAGACGACGAAATATTGTTGCGGGACTGTCGTTAGCAAACTACAGTTTAATTTAGCGATTTTTTTACAAACGTTTCTGTGAAGAAACTGACCGTAAAATATGAACACAATATTGAATGTAACATAAAGCAAATCTTATTTGTCGTTATAATACTTATTAAAGGCCACAAATACTTAAATTTATGGGTCTCCTTTGTCGCTTGGGCAGCCAGCCTGGGTTAGCAGTGGACGCTTCTCATACCCCTTCGTTGGAAGTGTGCTCCCGAAAAATCTTTCGCTTGAAGGGCTATCTGGCCCTTCACCCTAGCCCTCCCCCTCCAACCAAAAGAGAATTGGGACAGCCCTACCCCTTCACGTGGACGCGCAAAACGGAGGGGAAGGGGAAAGTGAAGGGGTAAGGGGTAGAATTGGGATTGGCCCTAAAATGTAACTGGATGAACAGCACCAGGTGGAGGGAAGTTTGTGTTTATGAAAATAATTATAGGAAGTATATTTTATATGGTATCCAATAACAAGCTCTAAAATAAATAAAACAATACATTACAATAGATAAATAAAATCTTAATTCATAAAAACAAAGATTACTGGGTGTTTATGGCAGCCAATCAAATCATGCCTCTTTTTCAATGTTTTTTTTTTTCAATACTGTTTTTTCTGTGTATTTATTTTGCACATATGAAACAGATGATTTTATTATAAGAAAAATATCAGATGGTAATATTGTCATCATGTAGATTTTTTCAAACTTAGCAAGATGAGTTTAATATATAAAAGATGACTTATAAAAGGATAAGCAAGGTATTAGCTTATAATTTGATTGCAAATACTAAGAGTGTACAGGATCTCACAGTCTATGCTACCTTATCCTATACATCTTTTAAAAAAGATGGTTAAAAAAAATTTAAGCTGCAACAGAAACTAGTCAAATACAGACATCAAGACTCAGCGTATGAATCTCAACAATGGTGACAATGCTTCATGTCGCTAGTACAAAGCTCATCCATGAGTCACAGCATGCATTGCAGCATGAAACTTTTCGTTTGTCACCACTGCTGAGCTTCATGATATCTGTGTTTGACTGGTTTCTGCTGCAGCTTTAAACTTTCTGACCTTTTTTTTTTTAAGTCATTCTGCGCTTTTGGGTAGCTTTAAGCTCAAAACCATTTTAACTAACAGTACATAATTAAAATATATGCACACCATCCATATACTCAAAAACTTGATCATAACTTGCTGATTATGACATCATCAAGAACCTTCTGATCATATTTTCTCTCGCCAAAACAGATGTATTTTATGAAAATACAGTTACAGCAGCCAGAGAAAAACTAAATGAAGAGTAAAGTGGCAAGAGCCATTCATTACGAGTCTGGTGATTTCAAATAAAACATCAAACCTCTGTTAATTCTCAATAAGAGCTTGTCTATGTAGATTCATATCTAAAACATCCAAATGTTCATTAAACATCACTAGACTACATAAACACAAATTAACAATACTTTCCAGTGTTCATCCAAACACTGTTGTAAACACAATACACAACGACTACAGTCACATGTGACACATATCTGACACAAGTTGTGTAACTATACCACATTAGTGTGTAAAAGGTTTCAACACACTTCTCTTTAAGAGGAATAGCACATTAGTTGTGTTAAACGTAACACAATGTGCTGTCTTTATAAAAACAGAGATGTGTTCAAAAACGACACAGGTTGTGTGTTAAATTTGACACAACATGTGTTGTCTCTCTTCATGAACATTTCTCAAAGTGTTAATTCTACACATGTCATTTTAACACATCTCTTTTTGCAGCGTGGGTGACCTAATGGAGCTAAATACTAGGCATTCCCTTCATTATGCTTCATATTTACGACAGCGACCTTCATTTAGCTTCATTAAGTTGTAAATAAATCAAAGCATGCAAAAAAAAAAAAACAGTCTGAAATGAATGCTGTGACTATGTGGTCCAATTAAACAAATCCCCATGCAATGCTGAGGGAGGGAAACAGAATATTTAAGAGCAGGGAAGAGTTTGCTCAGTGGTAGGGAAAGACAGAGCAGAGGACAGGTAGATAAGACAGACTGTTTCATGGAAGTACAGGAGAACTTTAAACTTAATATGAAAAACAATCATTTTGCTAAATCTTCTTGATTTTGTATGCTTAATTTGTTAGGATAGGTAATGTTTTGTCATTGTTTTGTATATATTTTAAACGTTTATATTTTATGTATTTGACATTGAGGTTAACAAGTTTATTTTTGCTGTTTTATTTTTGAAGGTCTGTACTACACACTTTAAAAAAAAAAAGCAGAATGGGTGACCAATCAAACAACAACTCTTTTACTAGTTTCCAGTTAATCGGGTTCACAGACCTTAAAGGGTACCGGCCTCTACTCTTCATTCCTTTTTGCATAATCATAATCTATACATCATTTGCTAATGCCATTTTGATTATTGTCATTTCAAAACATAGAAAATTGCATGCTCCCATGTATATTTTAATTGGACTGATTGCAGCTTTGGGATTTTGTGTGCCCATTTACTTTATTCCAAGGATGTTGGTCGGTTTTTTGTTGGACTGGAATACAATTACACGACATGAATGCCTAATACAAATGTTTTGTTTGCATTTTTCTGGTTGTTTTCAGTCCACCATATTGCTTGGGATGGCTGTGGACCGATTTTTTGCTATTATTTATCCTTTACGTTACAATGATTTTGTAAATTTGACAAACTCACTTATTTTCTCCGCAGTTCTTAGCATTCGGAACGCACTTGCCATTATTGTCATGGTTGGTCTAGTTGTGCCACTTACTTTTTGTAGAACAGATTTGATTTACCACAGTTTCTGTGAGCATACATCTGTTGTCAATCTAGCTTGCAATGATATTACTAAAAACTATTTAGCTCTTACAGTAGCTTTTGGTATAACATCGGCTGATTGTTTTGTGATATTTTGCTCTTATGTCATCATTTTTGTAGTTATATTTCGCTCTCCTTCTGGTGAATCCCGCCACAAAGCCATCCATACATGCACTACACACATAATGACCATAGTAATAGCCTATATTAGTGTTACTGCTGCATTTGTTGGGTACAGAGTACCTACAATACCCCGAGATATCCGTGTCTTAACTAGCGTAATGTATCACCTTGTTCCTGCAATATGTAACCCTATTATTTATGGTCTCAGAACCACAGAAATTAGAACTCAAATTGTGAATCTTTTTAAATTGAATAAAGTTACTTCATATTGATTGTCAAATACGCTCCATGTAAGATATTTATAATATAATATATTTGCTAAATTGTCTATTGGAAATTTCCAACCAAATTCTTTTAAAAAAAAATTTCTAGTTTGTTGTTTACCATATTGTCACGTTTTAAGTGTGTTTTCATTCATGTCTGTATTTCTTGTCTTGTGTTTTGCTGTCAGTGCACCGATTCTGGTTCTGTCATCCTCAGGTTCCATTGCCTGTTTGTCACCATAGTTACATATTGATTAGTGTTTGAGTTCAGCTGCCTCAGTTAATAAGTCTTGTTTGTCCCTCTGTTTGCAATGTACTTAAGCCCTGTGTGTCTTTCTGTTCAGGGTTCTACATTTTGACTATGTTGGTTGTTAAGTCCTTATTGCAGAGAATCTCCAGTGTTTTGTAAAATTTTGTGTTTGTTGGATAAGTTTAATAAGGAGAAGGCATTGCATCTGGGTACTGACAACTTCATTTGTACTGCAACCAATGTTTTGTGACACATACATGTATGTGCCTGAGTTCATTCTACTCACAACTTGCTCTGTATTGGTATTAAGACTGCTGCTAGTTCCATTGCACTTATTTGATAACTAAATGTTTAAGAAATTATATTTTATAATGAACTGCTTTATTGTACTCATGCATTGTATATTGTGGTTAATTTACAACCAAATTGAATAAACATGAATGCATTCATTAATAAATTGTCAAATTATTTTGAGAAAAAAAAATGGATTATTTCCATGCATGTCTATAGACTTTTGCTTGTAGTTGAAGACTGGCAAAATAAGAAAAACTTCACTGTGAAGATATAGTGTGTAGGCCTAAATCTAAATAGTTTTATCATTGTGATTAACATGTAGACCAATGCAAACCATGTTTAGAAACACTTACAGTTTACTGATACCTTGGCCATTCCACCTAATGGGGAACATTTGCTTCTTGTATCTCTTAAAATGAAACTTTCGTTTTGTTATCTTTTTTCAACACTGAATCTAATACAAGTTTAACTATTCAAAATATGTATTGGTCAATCTCAGGCAACTTTATTTAATTCTTTACAAGATTTGTAAGCGGAAGATAGACGCATGTTTTCTCAGTCTTGTAACCGAAACTGCCATTTAAAACACGTTTAAAAGCATTTCAATTAATTCCTTTGTTTTCCCCACAAGAAAGTGTTTATTTGAAATAAATTGTTGGCTATTTGTTCAAATAATTTGTGAAAACACTATTAAAAAATTTGTGAAGGTGAAAAAAATCACTATTAAAAAACAAAAGCTCTTTAATTTTAAAGATGGAAGCCTCAAGTTTTTAAAATTGTTTTATAATTCAATTTATTAAACAGTGGGTTAACTTTATTTTTGTAGGAATAAATGTATTAACAGGAATGAACATTAAGAGGAATGAGTGTGTATGAGAGAGAGTTACATGACTGTGTGTGCACGATATTTCTGTGTTGAAGTGATGTACTATGTGCTTGTGGTACTCCACAGCGAAGGAGGTGGAAAGCGAAAGAAGGAGAGAGAGGGGAGGAGGGACGTTAAGACAAAAAGGGGGGAAAGAGAAGGTTGCGGGTGTGTCTCGCTCCTTCCCTTGCGGTATGCCATGGGTGTTTCTGGCACCTGCATAATATGGGTTCTCTATCTTCTAATCTACAAAGTATAAGAAAGACAGAAAGTCTTTTGTTGTAGACAGGCTTCCTGGAAGTATAGTATTCACATTGTAAAACAATGTCAATTTAAGTAATTGAAACCTTAACACTATTAATAATAGTTAATACTATGTATTCAGTATTATAACAACTAATATTTACAGTATTAAATAAAAGAAAAACAGAAGACTCTACTCACTCCTGTTATTTTTTTCATGAGTAACAGGCTGAAAGTAACTGGATTGAGTTTTTACTCGATAGTTTTATTCACTATATAGTTCTCGAGGTTTACTAAAGAACCTGAAAAGTGTTGATTTTAGCATTATATTCAGGGGCTCGTTCTTCGTACATCGCTAACTCACTTAGCTGGATTTGATTGTTGGCGATTTGGCATGATCTTGGATCGTTTGGTTCTTCGAAGCTCATCCTGGGCTTGCTGTCATAGCAACAGGTGCGTTAGCTTGAACCTGCTCACGAGGCTTATTTCATGTAAACAGGATTAGATTGCGGCTTTATAAGCGGAGGAGATACGGGAAGTCTGTCGTAGCCATGTCTTGTCCACATTTAAGACAGCAACCTGTTGCGGAAGGGCGAGGATAATTTGCAGTGCTTTTCGAATTATTCGCGTATTGTAGAATAGACAGGATCCTTTAGCGCAGCACGACAACGTAATTTTTGAGAGGTATCGTTTTTCTCGTGAGGGTGTTATTTACATCATTAATTTGCTGGAAATACACATTAAATGTTCAACACGAAGGAGTCGGGCTTTGACAACTGCACAGACTGTGTGCATTGCCCTGAGATTCTTTGCAAGTGGCACATTCACTTAGAGAACTCAAGCAGTTTTTAGGGGTTTTTGTGGTATTTTCAAGCCACTTAAGAACCCAGGTTGTAAAGCAGAATTTTTTTTTGCTATTGCAGGTACTTATAATTGTTAATGACATGCAATCATGACCATGCCAAACAATATGGTCCTTCAGGCTTCCCTAACGTGATTGGTGCCATAGACTGCACACATGTCCCCATCAAGGCCCAATGAAGGGGATTTCCTGAACCGAAAGCGGGTTCACAGTGTAAATGTGCAGGTAAGTTACCAGATTAGTAATATATTACATTAAAAAAAGGAATATAATCAAAAAGTATGCAGTTGACTGATTAAAATCTCTTATATGGTGTGTGACGCTATGTTCCATATAACAAATGTGGAAGCAAAATGTCCAGGATCAGTGCATGACTCAGGAATTTTCAGAGAGTCACATTTATGCACATTATTTGAACGTGGTAAGGGAACTTATAAATGTCAAGCTCACAGTATTACACACACTTATGCTGAGCCTAACAAAACTGCATTTTTCCATTATACAGGGGATTTTGACGGGATCCCGCTTGGTGACAGGGGCTATGCCTGCAGGCAGTACGTCATGACGCCATTCCCTGACCCAAACCCTGGACCACAAACCCGTTACAATGCAGCTCTAGCCAGGACAAGGGCACGCATTGAAATGACCTTTGGGCAACTAAAGGAAAGATTTCAGTGTCTGAGGGCTGCACCTGACAGGGCCTGTGACATAATTGTTGATATGAATCTCAACAATGGTGACAATAAAAACATAATCTGATACAACTTTGATACAAATATTAAGGCAATTCAGCATAATTTATTCATGCTGCAATGCATGCTGGGAGATATTGATGACTTTTGATTGATGGCTCCCATCATTTACTGCACTCAAATGCTGATTTATCAAATTTACAACTGCAAATGCCTTAAATGATAGTAACTTTGGTGTGATCGTCGTTGTTTTGACAGACCTTTCATCTGAAATTGCCAAAGTCTGCAAAGGTTTGTTTTATTCGGTTGTAGATTTTGTGATTGATATCGCTGTCTCTGATAGGATGCTGCCTAGTGTTTAATGGTTATCTGACTTATCCTCGTAAACAAAGAATTTATTATCTTTATATATATGGGATGGGTAGGTCCACAGAGGTTTGCATGTAGTTCCGCCATCTTGAAAAACTGTAATAGCAGAGAGGGACAAAAAGTACTAGGCCAATGCATTGCCACAATGCGTTTTCATTCAGAGCCAGTAACTGAAAACAGCAGAAACGGAGGAGCAGAGCAGTGAGAGGCACTTCATTGCCCTGGCAAGTTTAAAAGGCTGCATTGCACTGTTATTTTTAATGGCGGAGGAGAAGAAGTCATTGGTAAAAAAGTCCAAAATAGAATGTAAAAGGAAACGTGACCGGAGATTACAAAAAAAATTGTTTCAACACCTGATTCTTATTCAAATTAAATAAAATAAAAAATTAGAAGTAAACAATCAGCAGCTGACCAATGATGCAATATGAACCTGGTGTTTTCTTTTATCAATACACAGGTATGATATCTCTTGTTATAAGTGGTCAGAGTCTAATTAACACACAATAAGATAATTGGACCCTTGTTGATGTCGCCTCCCCTTGAGTGCTACTTAGTGTGTTTACCACCAAGTGTTAAGTTTGACCCTTGTTATTGCAACAAAAACATATTGGACCCTTGAGATGGGTCTAGCTAAACAAAGTCCAGTAATGAGTGATGAATTAGAGCTTTCTAAGAGTTCTCTAACTACTACTGTATCATAAGGGGACAAAGTTACACAAAGTGTATCACCATGACTCTTAAATGTCATTCGGACCTTATAATAATTATAATAAAAGGAAAATAAAGCAAAACATAATTTTATTGGCCTGAGACACTGTTATAGGCTCCAATTCCACAACTCTATATTGGACGAACTGCCTGGAAAAATAATGGATAGATGGAAAAATCACCTGATGCACATCTAAACAGCCTGTTCGTATTCTGAACTTTGATCTTTTAAAACTTGCCTTCTACAACCTTTTGTACAATTTGATTACACCAATGGCAAGAAATCAAGGTACAATCTATGTTTTATTGTTATTTACACCTGTTATACACTTGCTAGACCTTGCAAATGCTTAAAGTAGGAAAACAAAATGAGTATAAAAGCAAATGTATAAATAACTACAAATTACATAGAAGTGGAATGAAGGGCACAAAGCAATTTTCGGGAACTTGAAATTTACTTGATCATTTTACTTTTTTGTACAATATGTACAGAACAATATAGATTTGTGCAAAAGAACAAACCATTGTGTATTATTTAATAAAAATAATGGGCCCTATTTTAACAATCTGAAACGCAATTGTCAAAGCGCAAAGCGCAAGTAACTTTGTGGGCGTGTCCCAGCGTTATTGCTATTTTCCCGGCGGGATAAATGCCTCTTGCACCTGGCGCAAATCTAAAAGGGGTTGGTCTGAAGTAGCTTCATTATTCATAGGTGTGGTTTGGGCGTAACATGAAATAAACCAATCAGAGCGCCATCCAACATACCCTTTAAGAACAGGTGCGCATGTTGCATGACGGATTGTTATTATAACGGCGGGTTTACCAGGAAAGTGTGAAAGTGACGTTGTATGGGGATGGGAGAAACCCTCGCACATCAGCGAACGGTTAAACATTATATACATATGTTTCTTGCCACTATTGGGCAAACACGTCTGATCCTTTAGTACTACAATTAGCCTTAAAAAATGGGTAATAAGGTTTTTTCATCTTTATGTAAACCACAATGATTTCCCTCATGTGTTAATATTTTACCTTGTTATAATGTATGATTTCCAAAAATAAAAACTCTCGGGACTCTCTGTCACATAGTAGAAAAATTACCGTATAGACAGAAGGAGAAGCTCGCAGGCAATTTTTTATCAGGTGGACATGGAGGCATAAAGTCACGGGAGAAGCTTATATATATATATATATATATATATATATATAGTTCATAAAAGCAACAGTATAAAAAATTTCAACAACAGATTTGTCCTGGACGCCTCCCCGGGGAGGTGTTCCGGGCACGTCCC